GTGGTTATCGGAGGGTGCAGCTGGTGCCCGGTTTGAGTAGGTGGTGGGGACACCGTATGGAAGGAGAAAGTGAGCTTCTGGTTTCTATGATTGTACCTTGAGGGACTTGGTTCGGTCAAGGTCAGGTGCGCGTCGTGGGAAGTAATTTGAAGATGAGATGCCGTAGGCTTCGAGGACGAAGCCTAATTTAAGTGGGGGAGAATTGTAACATCCCGAAATCGCAAGAATAGAATTGAAGGGCTAAAAGTGTAAGTTTTAGAGGGTGACTCGGCGAGTCCATGGTTAGACTCGGCGAGTCAAGTCGCGGCTATGGTCGTGTGTCTAGTGGCCTACTCGGCGAGTCCAAAGATGGACTCGGCGAGTAGGTGTTGTATGGAGAAAACCCTAATTTTTGGGGTTGAGCCCTATATAAAGAGCATTATACCCTCCACACCTCCCTTATTCCCCCTTGAGTTCCAGAAACCCTAAATTCGTGGAGAGTCATTATTGAACAAATTAGAGCTTGGAGAAGTGTTGTTTGAAGAGATCTTGAAGGAGAAGTGGCTTGGATCAAAGGGCTTTGCTTGGATTCGAGTTTGGTTGCTATTGAGGCATCTTTTGGAGGTAATACTTTCGTTCTTGGGCTGTATCTTCCTAGTTTCATCATTTTGGGGTTTGTGGGGAGTATCTCTTGGAATGTTTTGGAGTTTGGAGGTTAGATCTGAGGTTGCTACCTCAGATCTGGAATATTGAAGGCCTAGAGTGCATTAAAGTTCCTGTGTTTGAGTGCTTAGTGAAACCACCATGTCCCAAACCTTGGTTCTAAGGTGAATAAGGCTTAGATCTCCTTAGATTCACGTAAAGTTTGCCACTTTACGTGATGGATGGATTGTAGGAGGTTGGATCTATGTTTTGGATCAATTGCATGGCCTGAGATGCTTCTGTATGGATTCAGACCGGTGGTACTCGACGAGTCACATGGGTGGACTCGACGAGTTGCTTGAAGATGGCCTGGAACTCGACGAGTTGGAAGAACAACTCGGCGAGTAGGTTGAAGATAGTCTTGGACTCGGCGAGTCTTGTCGAGGAAGTCCCAATATTTCTGGTTGAGTCGATGAATCGGTGAGTCAAGGGATGACTCGGTGAGTTGGGTGCGAGTGGACTCAGAGTTGTTGGACTCGACGAGTCTTGGGGTGACTCGGCGAGTTGGGTCGCTGATTGAAGGAAGTTCTGAGCATATGGACTCGGCGAGTCATCGGGTTGACTCGGCGAGTAGGGTCAGTCAGGGGTTGACTTTGACTTGTCCAAGGTTGACCAGTTGTCTTCCAGGGGTATTTTGGTAATTAAGGGTATTTATTGAGTTGTATGTTTTGATGTTCAGTGGAGGAGTTCGTGTCAGAGTTCGGAGCAGCGGGATCTTATCCTTTCAGCCGACAGTTTCGAGGTGAGTTATCCTCACTATATCAACAGGGTCTAAGGCACCAAGGCCGGCCCTTTATTGGATTGAGATTCGGTATGGTTATTATGTTATTGTTTGATGTGTCTGCATCCTGGTAGCTAGGATGGTACATGCTAGGAGACCTTGTTAAGGTCAGTTTCCCGATATACAGAGTGATGCTATGCTAGTGACCGGTTAGGTCGGTAACCCGGTTAGGGTAATGATATGCTATGTGATCTGCTTGCTCGGTTTGTGACTATGACTGTTATATGAATGTATGTTTTGTGCACATGGTTGTTTGGACTGGAGATGGGTTGAGGCGGGTCCTGCTTTGTGCTGTAGGCCAAGATACCCAGGGCGGACCGGTTGTTCCGAAGGCCCAGCGAGCGGTCCGGATAGGCTGTAGGCCCCACGAGGGCGGACCAGACGTGCCGAGGCTCGGAGAGTGGACCAGGCCGACTGAAGGCCCGATGCGGGCGGACCAGTCACACTGTAGACTCAGAGAGTGGACCAGGTGGGTTGAAGGCCCGATGCGGGCGGACCAACCCCACTGTAGACTCGAAGGACATGACTAGACCTGGAGGATGGATCCGATGGACTGAAGGCCCGATACGGCGGACCAGTCACACAGTAGACCCGATATGCATGACTGTTCTATGTTCTGTTATGTTATGTATGTTTTATATGTTTTGGACCGGAAGGTCGCAACCTGGAAGGGCGTATTCGTGGTTGGTATTTTGGGGGTATCTCACTAAGCTTTCGGGCTTACAGTTGTGGTTTAATGTTTTTCATGTTCTTCAGGAGACTGTGGCAAGGCGAAGGCGCGATCGTACCGCTCCTCATGATTTCTCATGATTTTGTAGTAACGTGATCCTGGAAACACTCTAAATGAATTGTATTGAAAACCTTTTGTAAACATTTTAATGAAAATCGGGTTGTTTTGAAAAATTTAAATTGGTTGTATTTTTCGGATGTTACAATGTTTGGATCAATAAGAGTTGTGAAACACTTTCAAATTAAATCATTTCGAGGGTGCACTCGAAAATCTCTAATAGCATAAATCAGGACATAACTTCTCGTAAAAAAAACTACCATTAGATGGTTATAAGACCTTAACTTCCTTGTCAGAAAACTGTGATAAACTATCATCAACCGAGAACTTAAACAAATGATTACTCCGCACCACCCTAACTGGTTTAATATATATCAAGGCATTGTTGATTAACAAATTAATTCTATTACACTTAAATAATATTAGTGATATAAAATCAGCAACATAAATTTTAGTCAAATGATATTACATATTAGGGAATACGATAGTTATGACAGGTTAACCTTTCATCATGTGATTTTAGGTTTAGGTTTGGGTTCATGATGTTTACAAATAATATAAACATTTTTTAATTGAAACTCATTTCACATTCATAAGCCACACAAATATGACATTGTAATGTAATGACCAATTTTAGTATTGTAACTAAATCCATTTCATTCTTGTTTCATTGATGCACTACATCTAACTAAACAAACCTTTAACTAACTAGACATACACAAAAATACTGGTCTCGGATTACACCCGAAAAAAGACCAAGACCGAACTGGTACAAAAGAATTTTAGACCGAAAAAAGATCGGTCATAAAAAGACCAGTATAGAAAAATAGACTGTTCCGAGACCGGTTTAAAAAAAGACTGAAAACCATAATTTATAAATGTATTATTTTTGTCTCAATTACACAATTTTTAATCACATTATCTAATTTCTTATTTTTGTTAAATTTTAGTGTATTATTTTTAATAAATCTTAATCTAGCATCTTGGAGTTAATCACATATTTTTTAACAAAAAATACCAAGCCAGAACCGGAAAAATCCAAAAATAAAACCGAAAAAGGAAAACGAAAAAAATGCAAGACTGGGTCGAAAAAAAAGACGTGACTATAAAAGGACCGCTCTTGAATATGACCAAACTTGTTCAAGACCAACTAAGACCGGTCTGAAGCTATCAATGGGTATCTCTATAACCAACTATTATGTGTCCAAAGAGTGTTAGGAATTGCTACAAAGATGTCTAACACTAAAAAGAAACTCTTATCCATCATGATATTTCGTGCCTTGGTGGCCCATTTACGTAGCTTTTCTCACCACAATATTTCTTAACTATACGAGTACCACACGTTACGTAGAATACAATTATATATTTTTAATCTTTACAAATATATGGTTTTTAATATATCAATGACATTGTTAGCTCTTATATAATAAATATTGTAATAAGTTTTTATAAACATTGGTTTGAATTATACGATAATGTAAATATCTTTTAAAATTATATAATCTTAATTGTCTCAATGGTCTCTACATACGGGTTATTCATAAGCAAAATTAAATATAATATATAGTTTAAAGATGTTTATAGTTGTTGTTATGATTAATTAATTTTAAAAAGTTTATTTGCTTAACATTTTAATTTTTATCATTGTAGTTATTTAAAATAAACATTGTTTTTGTTTTTAAATGTATCAATATAATTTTTACATATAATATTACTTTTAACTATTATTGTTGTAAGGTAATTAAAATAATGTATTTAGAAAATTTTAATTATTTTAATTTGGTTTTACAATTTAACTTTTTTAAATTTTATTTGATGAATATTATTAGTTTCTTTGGCTGTAATTATTTAAAACAAAAAACATTGTTTTTGTTTTTAAAGATAACATTATAACTTTTTTATATAATATTACTTTTAACTATTTTTATTGTAAATTGCTATTAAGTTATTTATTTGAAAATTTTTAATGATTATGAAAAATATTTTCATGTTTTATTTTATTAATTTAGAATTACAATTTAGATTTAACATTATAATTTATAACTTTTAACTATTTATAAAACGATTTTGTTTTTAAATTTAACTATAATTTTGATTTAAGTTAGCCCCTTTAACATTATTGAATTAATAATTTTAACTATTTTACATAAAATCATAAATTATACAAAAGTTGTAAATGTAAAATGATAATTTCTTAAATACAACAACATATCTAAACTAATAATTTAAATATAATATTTTAAAAAGTTAAAGTCATAATTTTATAAATAAAAATAAAATATGATATTTTAATATTATATTTTAGTAAATTTATAATTAGATATTAGGTTTTGCATTATTTAATATTCTTAACTAATTTATAATAGTTATTAGAAAGAAATTAAAAAGTTATAGAGATTTCAAATGCATATTATATAAATAATAAAAAAACATCTTTTACAAGTATACAGTGGTTACAAGCTATAAATCTGATACGCATATGCTAGGAGATTGACCAATACGTTTCGCAATGACATTACTATGGTTCTAACGCAAAATATAAAATAACATCGAAATTTTGCTAGAGTAATAGATCTTGGACAAAGTATAGAAACATGAACAAGAGAACAAGGTATGAAAACTTTAATGATACTAGTACCTACAGAAGGTCTGAACTAATTAATCTATCATTCAACTAATTCGTGACGAGATGCTCTGGATATATTTTTCATGAAAAAAAAAAAAAAAAAAAAGATGCCTAAACACCCTAAAACCGAACTGGAAACATGTTGAACACCTCATCAACCAGTATCAAATGGTCATATGTACAATGACAAATCTTTTTAATTGCAATAGTTACGTAGGGTTTGAGCTGACAAATTCTGATGCATTAATCTTCTAGACTTCTCTAGAATGAAAATTTTGTTGCAGAACAACATATGTGTTGGGCGCATCTTATCTAACATGGATAATGTTGGTAGCATGCATAACATAATCTTGATAGATATAAAATATATGTATGCATATATATCTATCTATCTATATACTGACTACTTTGACCATCTTTGCTTCGTTCTCCTGACCTCTGGTGGTCCGATGAACAATTCCGTTTCCACATCTGAGTTCTCCTCGTTATCAACAACACGTACATCCGGTCTCATTTCTTCTGTTCCTTGGTCTGTTTGGATTAAGCACTGAATGGCAAAAAACACAGATTTAACTCTTAGATCGTTATGCAGGTTGAACAACATATATACATCCAGGAGATACGGAAGAAAAACCATACTAACCTTCTCAGTAAGTGATGCATTTTCAGCTGCTAGCAGTTTCTCCTGAAGATCGATCCACATAAAAAGAAATACTATAGTTTATTAGTTTCTCGAAAAAAAAACCTTCGTCCCATATTAATGTAGTTCTCGCATTGGACAACATGTAAATAAATCATTCCATAAAACTTGTACATCCACTCTAGCTTAATATGAGCGTTTTGATCAGTTATATATATAGCATAACTGGGTAGGTTTGGAATCATTAAGCTGCGTACCTTTGCTTGTAGTTGCTCAATCTGTTCATTGTAGACTTGCATCTAAAACGTCAAGTATTCAACAAAAGAATGTTAAAGATTCAACCATAAACCCTAAAATTGATATGGAATTGAAGAAGGAAGAATAATTCTTTGATAACGAGTAACAATTTTTTAAACCTTTCTTGCTCGAACAATGCGTACGCTCCTCTCAAGCTGTTGTTCAATCTGAACTATTTCTTCAATGGTGCTTGATCCTAACCCTTCTCCCAAAAGTTTCCTGCATTGCAACTAAGATCAGTAGCCATCTTTTTTTCTTTAATTGTATATATGAATCTGTGTGTGTGTGCTTGTTTGTTTATTTAAAATACAATCTAAATATACTCGTATTGATTAATAAATAGCAATTTTTAGCAATAACAACAATTGTAAGATCAGTAAGCATTCTTTTTCTCTTGTTTAATTTCTTCTAATTTTAATTTAGTGAGATTCGAAACCTCAGAAGCATATAAAGTATATTTTTGGACAAAAATTGCACCCTTTTGCCTGCTGCATTAACGATTTTAAAATGATCAGTAGCCATTTTTCATCCTATTTTTGTGGTTTTTCCATCAGCATTTGATCTTCAGAAGCATATAAAGTATATTTTCAATGATTAAAACATAAAATGGCACCTTTTTGCAACTTCTAGGAGTTCTACCTTCTTTGCCATAGTAGCTGTTTCATGCTTCAAATGCTGCAACCAAATTATATATATCAAAAACAAACAACCGAATTATATATCAAAAACAAACAACGTTCGTCTTTTGAATATTGTTTGTACATATATATTAAAAAAACTGAATTATATACATCAAAAACAAACAACCGAATTATATATGTCTGTGAACCTGAACATCTTCTATACTCGAAGAGTTTTCTGTTTGAACATCTTTTACGTGACTTCTATATCGTTCAATTGTCTCCTGCATGCTGAATGATTTCAAAACCCAAATAAGAGATGCAATCATTGCCCAAAAAAAAGCCAAGGAAAATATGTAAAACAAAAGTCATGTATGTATTATACAAGTGTATTATTACACACATTCATGATATATATGTATGGATGAATGCATCTATCATATGTATTCATGGATATACATATATGCATATACGAGTTTTTTCAAACAGAAAAAGAAAGACACATACATATTTTGCAAGGCCGTGTTCATCAGGGCTTTGAGTTGACATTAATTCAATAAGGAAAACAAATGTTCAATCCTATGTACAGTGGTCTTTAAAACTTAATAAAATAGAAGTTATATGTAACATTCTGAATCGGAACACTTGTTTGAGGATATTTTTGTAAATTGTTACAATCGATCATCTAATACTTAAGACTGATTAGCAATTGTGTTTGTTTTGACCTTTCGAAAAACTATTATACTTATCAAAAGATGAGAAAACCACTCATGATATCTTAATTTCAAGCACCCGAGTCGGCTTTTCTATATATAACTTGAATATAATAATGTTAAGTTTATATAGGGCAATATATGTAAAAGAAGAGATACTATATTTTGTTACTATTATTTAAATATATTAAACACAATGAATATTGTACTAAATTTATATAAAACTAATTGTAAACAGATGCTTTTTATAGTAAAATCAGAAAAGTAAAAGCTTTGACATTCTTCGTATTCGGTATGATGAATATGAAATACACCATTTCAAGTTAACTGATTAAAACATGCCAGACAAGAGTCAATCAGATCATATCATTTTTATTATTTTTATCAAAAATTTATATTAATATATTAATATCATTTCTTTATTATTATTTGACTGGACTAAAAGGAAACACACATTGACCTCACTTCCTATAGTTATATGTTCTTCATTTATATATATTTAAAAATTCTCTAAATTTCGGTAGAAAGTCGAGATTCAACCCATAAAAAGGTTCTATCTTTATATGTATAGAGTAAGTATTTTGTACGAAACTAATCATGAAAGCGTTCAATAAGTATTTGAAACTAATTAAAATTCCAATTCCATAATATTGTATCCCTTTTTATTCATATAAAGATCCGGTTAACCATATTCGAGCAAATAACATTTTACGTCCGACTCAAGTATATTAATAGATCTCTGTGTATGTGCCTTGTGTAGATAACATCAGAAAGAAGATTGAAGCCCATTACTACGGAAAAGAAAGTATACATTGGAATTGGTTGGATAAATAGTGTTGTAAAACACTTTAGAATCAAGAAAACATGAAATTTAAGTGAGAAAATGGAACCTTGAGCTTGGAAACTCAATAACAGTATAATAAAGAAAGAATATTTTAAACCCAGAATAGAAATCATTATAAGGAAAAGAACCCACAAACCAGAATCAAGAAAAGATCAAAATGATCATGGGTCGCTTTGATGTTATCTATTTTCAGATCCGTTTGTGCATACGCGTATGAACGTATGCATTGAGTAGATAAAAGGGAAATAAATTTGAAACCCAGAATTAAAATCAAGATTATACGAATAAGAATTCCGAGATTAGAATTTACAAATTTTGATGATTAAGTGAGAAAAATGGAACCTTGAGCTTGCAAATTCATAAAGTTTGCCTCTTGGAGAGAAGATGATCAAAGCAACCTCAGCATCACAAAGCACAGAAAGTTCAAACGCTTTCTTCAACAAACCATTTCTTCTTTTGGAGAAGGTCACTTGTCTACTTGTAGCATTTTCAATCCTCCGCATTTGAGTCTTCCCTCTCACCATCTTCCAAAAATTTTAAGGTTTCACTCTATACAAAAAAGAAGTTACAGAAAGGTCAGAACCGATAACCAATCATATGTCAAGTCTTCTTAATGTGGTTGAAAGTAGTATGGTCGCATGTTCAAGTTACTGAAAAGTGAAAACACAGATTGGTTTGATGGAACCATGAATCTTTCTTTATATGCGATCAAGATCCATCAACAAAACACCAACCTCAAATACCCATATCAATTCTTGAATCAAGACAAGGTTTTCATAAGTACCGTAATAGAAAAAGATTGAAAAAGGTGCAATCTTTAGCTAAAACTATCAACTCTTACAACAAGATTTTGGTTCAAGAAAGAAAAGTCACCTTACAAAAGAGGTAAAAACCCAGAAAAAGGTTGTTCTTTCTTAGAGAGAGAGAGAGAGAGAGAGAGAGAGAAGGGCGGAAGATGTTTGTAGAAAACTCAGCGATGGAGTGTGTGTGGACTAGGGAGAAAAAGGGGTTTTCGGTCTTTTTAAGAAATGAAGCTATTGAAGTTAGAGCGATGGTTCTTTAATGACTTGTAAGGTGTGCATTGGGACTGGTACACATTGTGGGCATGGATGTTTTAGGTTTGCAAAAATGGGTAACCTTAAAACTAGCCCACAAGGAACCCCTAGATATATTAGGGATAGGCCTAAAATTGCCAATGGATGAGATGATTGATTGGTGCTCGAGTCCTCTTTTATGGGTGTATACCATAAAAAAGAAAAGAAAGTGGAAACTAAACTCACCCAATTTAACCACTTTCCTTTTTTATATTAACATGAATTCTTACCCAACAGTTCAAAGCTTGTTGTAACCTACTTTTCAAATAGAAGAAAGTAAAATTAAAAAGAAAAAAAGGAAGACATAAAACTATTGTTCGTGTTGAATTAATAAACTTCATGTAACAAGGAGATTGTAACAAGGTTTTAAATTCTGAAAATGTGACCACGTTTATTATACGGGAAAAATGAATATACCCTTAAGGGTATATAAGCTTAGTACCCAAACTTGTCATATTATATCGTTTTGTATAATATAACACATTTTAATTATTCAATGTTCATATAATTCAACTTCTAACTTAATTTAACTCTATGATTTTTGTAAATTACATATTTATTTTCTTCTTACATAATTTTCATTTTCAACTTCAATATATACACTAATAGGTGTTCGGCAAAAAGATATAATATAAGAGAAAAGTAATATTGAAATTTCAAAAATATTAAAAATAAATCAAGTTAGGGTTGAAGTTTAAGAACTTTATAATGAATATATCAAACAAAACGACGTATTATAGTGTGTTTCGGTACCTAAGCTTTTATATCCTTAAAGGTTTATTCACTTTTCCCTTATTATATATATATATATATATATATATATATATATATATATATATATATATATATATATATATATATATATATATATATATATATGATTTAGGTGTTTAGAATTTAGTTAGGCTACAAAACAATAATAAAGTAAACAGATTATTACAAATAAATAAATATTTATAATATGTTTTTGTTTAGCTTAATTTAAAGAAGTACATTAGTTATGTCCCAAATCCAATCATGTCTAGTAATTTTGAGTAATTTAACATAAACCCCATTAAATGTTAATTTATTATTTTTATAGTATTGTATATGTTTATAAATTATTGTTTTATATAATTATGCAATATATGCTCTTTTATATTATTACTAATATTCATATGTAAATAAGATTATTGTTTTTTATACAATGATTTTAGAATTATTCAGTTAATATTCTTTTATATTACGCTCAAAAACATTCATTTAACTTATTTTTTACAAAAAAATAATAATAATAAACTATTACCTTTTTTGACTGTGAAAGATAATTATTATACCCTTTTGCTAGAACATAGCGTTTTGCTTATTTTGGTAAATACAATATTCACACCCCAAAACAAGAAAGTTGGTACAATTCCAACATATTAAAAGTATGCAAAAGAAAAAGGAAAGGCATAGGGTTGTAATATAACACCTTGATCCAATGAAGGAAAAACAATTAAAAAAAATAAGAAATATTGGTATTAAATTAAGCAGATTAACAATAATTTTCTAAATAGTATTTTATAGAAAATTTTGGAATATTTTTCCTACCATTTTAAGAAAAAATTGATTTGTAAAGATATTATTAGTACGAGCAAATTGTTTTTAATAAAGTTTAACGACCCATGTAATTTAATTAGTCTAAATATTTATTTTATAGTTTGTTAATAAAATAAAAGGAAACACTAATACCAACGTAAATATCGAATTAGTGCAAGTGAACCCTATATTTTAAAACTTGTAATAGTTTTTTATAATTTGGTGGGTCTAAATGTCTAATTAATTTATAAAAAGTGTTATATAAACCAATTTATGTAAAAAAAAAAAGATAAAATAGCATAAGTTAGAATTAATGAATGTCATAAATAAATTGATTAAAAAAAAAAAACTTCAGTATTATAAAAACTTTTTAAGCTTTATAGATTGGATAATTTGACATTCAAATGTTACAAAAGAGATTAAATGAAAAAGCTCTACAATCGTATGCTCTTAATTTTGATTTTATTTGGTCCATAAAAAATTCTTTTAAATGTAAATATAGTCATATTGCATTAAGAAAACCACAAATCATGTGTAAGATATTAGAAAGCATACATGTACATAGAAGGCATAACAAGTTGTACATGTATGTATGAGATGTTGTACATAGTTAATAAATAGAAGGGACCAAAAAGGGTGTCAACATCAAAGGTACGATAATGGAAAGCGTATGAACCAATCACAATTCGAAAACGCATTGGGAGCCTATGATTTTCATTGTAAAAAGCAGGTTGTGTCCCAGACTTTATTCGGACCCACACACCTTTTGTAGGGTCAGGGAAGAGGAGGCGAGGGTAGGTGACTCATTGAAATGCAAACATAAACAAATATAGTAATATACACATACATACCCGTATACATAAATAGTTATGAAAGTCATCTAATACTAGTAGTGTGAAAAAAAACATAAATCATGTCTAATCTAATTTACTAATTTTTAAGATTTAATCAAAAACTATATGCATATACCAAAATCGGTAATATAGATATGGTTTTTAAATGTGGCATCTGCGAAAATCTGTCCCACCTACTAAAATTATTTTTTAATATTCCGCTAAAAAAAACATATTCATCTTCGAAAATGTTGTGAAAATCTCTTAATAGGCTACAATGATCCTTATATGTCTTGAGTTTATAGTTCACTTAGGAGGGTGATTAACTATTAATTTTGTTAATATATTTTTTTTTGTATGTTAATCTAATTTATTGTTTGTGTTCATCATATTTTTTTTTTTGGAAAGGGAACTTCCCTAACGAGGGTTTCCGGGTCAGCTTTCGCGCACCGACTAATCCCCCGCTGCAAACATAAAGCTTTGCCTCATGCCCTGGAGTCACTGCAGACGAACCTCCATGGCCACAAGAGCTGAGTGGTGCCAAAATTTAAACATGGGTCAATAGGTTATCCACCATATCTTCATCATAATTTTTTGACCAGCAATCAGGTGATAGTTTGTCAAAATGGTGGTTATGATGAACACACAAGTTAAGTTATATGACATATATTATGTACAAAAAAAAAAGTTTAAATTACACAAATAGTCCCTATGGTTTGGGGTAATTTCTACGTTTGGTCCATAACTTATTTTTTTAACTCGGAATTTCCTTATTATTTATTTTTATTGCGCGTTTGTTCTCTACCTTACCTAAAAAGACTATTTTTCCTTTGATTTTTTTTTTATTTATTTAAATAAACACACCCTAACCCCACTTCCCCCTCACCTTATCTTACTTTACATACCCCACCTTATTTAAATAAATTAAAAACTCAATGGCAAAAATAATATTTTTAGGTAAGACATGGACCAAGCGCGCTACAAAAATAAACTGTAGATACCTTCTGAGTTTAAAAAATAAGTTAGAAACCAAACGTGCAAATTACCCCAAACCATAGGGACCATTGTGTAATTTACTCAAAAAAGAACCAAAAATGAACAAAATTGTTGAAACAATAAACTGTAGATCGATAGATTCAAAACAATAAAGAAAATCAAACAAGAAGAAAGTGACCGAAGTTGTGCTGAATTATTACTAATCAATGTCTTAGAATATTTCAACGTAAACTTGTAAGTCCCCAAATCTGGAACCAACTAGTGATCAACAAACAATCAAGTCGAAATAATCAAGCACTAGAATAAGTAAAAAACAAAAATTGATCCAAATTGCACACGTTTTATATATGGCCCGAAAACGTCAAGTACAATGGACATTACACATACAGTTGACCACAAACGACCCCTGAGAACTGACAGACTAGTACACTATTTATAGGGAATAGTAGCAGCAAACTAGTTTGCAGCCGTGTAACGACCCGATTTTCATAATAAAATTTTCATTTTTAAGTAATCGCAACATTTGCATAAATCATAAAATTCCAAAACATCTGTTTTCAAATCAACATCTATTACATCATTATTTTTCTTTTAAGTCATCAGAATGTCCCAAAACATGTCAATAAAAGAGAGATAGAGTGCACGCCGCGCCATCACACCTTGCTCTTACCCTTAGGCTCCAAAGTACCCGAAACAAATCAACAAACTGTAAGCGAAATGTTTAGTGAGTTCCCTAGAGCATACCACACACAATGTCATGGGCTATTAAAGCTATACATATACCACATAAAACATGCAAATACGAACCAACAAGAATGTCATGGGCTACCCCACATGGTCTTTACCTAGGACTACCATGGGCTACCCCACATGGTCTTACATCTAATGTCATGGGCTACCCCACATGGACTTTGCCGATGACTGTCATGAGCTACCCAACATGGTCTTATATCCAATGCCTCGGGCTCCCCCCGGGGTCTTCCACGCAACCATATAATCATATAACATGAAATCATAAAATGACTGTCATACACAAAACATGATCACATAATGGGCCGGCCTTGGTGCCTTAGACCCATAGAGATGGTGAGAAGACTCACCTCAGTCTGCTAAATATAAATACTGCTCTCCTAACAGTCCGCAAATTCCAGAGCTGAATAATAATAATAATAACGTAAACAACATTAGGGCTTTAAATTAAATAAGGGGGAAAACGCAACTTCCAATTCCTCACTCAAGGCCCAAATACCCTATCCTTTCTAATGGGCCCAAAAGTCCAATTCCAAAATCTTTAATAGGCCTCTTGGACCAAAAAGGCCCAACCATTAAATCCATGGCCCATAACAGATGTCAAGCCCCTATTTCACAGAATTCAATCAAGCCTACCAACCAAATGGGCCCAAAGGCTCAAAGGCCCAAAACAGTTTAAGGCCCAACTGCTCCTGCGTACACCCAACGTACCATCTTGGTACGCGCATCATATTGAGGGTTTGGGGACTACGTGTAGCGTACAACTGGTTACGCCCAACATACAATCAGTTTAAGCACTTTCTCTATTAAGTGCTTAATGCTCGATTTCCTCACGACCAAAAGTCATATTTGGGTCTTCTAAAACATCCTAAGGCATAAAGTTGCCAACTTTATGCCCTTGCATGCCCCAAAAACGTCCAACACTTCCATTGAGACTTTTCCAAGGTCCTTTTCATGAATGAGACCTATGCATCCATCAAGATCCTATTTTTATGCTTCTAAATGACTAAGGGACCTCAGATCTGCCATCC